CGCTACCGGCTTCACGGTTTGCTGGTCAGCCTCCAGACCCTGCGCCCCCGGCTGGGCGCTTCCCCTCCCGGGCTCCAGCTGCGCTGGGGAAGCGCCGGCCGGGGGCGCAGGGTCTGGGGGCTGCCTGGCAAACCGTGAAGCCCGTAGCGCTCGGGCAGCCCTTTCCGCGTGGCTGGGAGTGGGAGGGAGGAGGGGGCGGAGTTAGGGCGGGGCTGGGGGTGGGGTGGGGAAATGGGCGGGGCCAAGGCCCGTGGAGCGTCCTCTTTTTTTATTTGTTAGACATGGTAACCCTAGTAGGGCAACTTCCACCTTTTCATGTTCTCTGTATGTATATATATCTCCTCACTACATGTTCCATTCTATGCATCCGATGAAGTGGGCTGTAGCTGACGAAAGCTTTTGCTCAAATAAATTTTTGTTAGCCTCTAAGGTGCCACAAGTACTCCTGTTCTTTTTGCGGATACAGACTAACTTGGCTGCTACTCTGAAACATGGGATATGTAGTCATGGGCTGCACAGACACGCCTGGCGGCCATTTTTATCGAGTGGCCGGTGGCGCGCTGTACTGACCCATTGGAGTTGTAGTCAGTGGCCACAGTTGTAGTCAAACCATTTCCCCAATGCAACAGCGATCATAGTGACCTCGTAGGCGCGGGGTACCATGGGAGCATAGTCAAGTGGCGCTGTGCCTCATGGGAAGTGTAGTCAGGACTCGCCCACACACGCCTGGGCGGCCATTTTGAGCGGCGGGGGGGGGGAGGAGATCCCGGACAGCGTGGTGCATTATGGGACACACGCCCAGTCACCCCCTCCCCTGCCGGCTTTACCCGACATGCCTGGCGGACGTTGCTAGGTGACGGCTTGGGCGGCAAGTTCGGTTGGGGGAGGGTCGTGGGTCCTGGGGGTTGCTGGGACAGAGGGGGGAGCCCGGACGCCTGGGTTCCCAATACCCCCGCGGGCCCGCACCTCAGGGACCGGGAAGGATGGAGTCCAGGTACGGTCCCCGCGAGATCGGGCCCCGCCCCCGGGTCCTCCCGCGGCCTCTCCCGCCTCCCCAACCTCCGCCCCATGTCCCCTGGGGCGCCCTGCAGAGCTGCCTGCATCCCAGTGTGCTCAGGCCATGGGGGGGCGATGATGTCTGGTCCCGGGGTGTGTGGGGAATGGGGGGACGATGGTGTCTGGTCCCGGGGACTGGGAGGGCGATGCTGTCTGGTCCTGGGGTGTGGAGGGAATGGGGGGGAACTGGAGGGGTGATGCTGTCTGGTCCCAGGGGTGGGGTTGACGGGGGGCTGCCCTGCTAATTCCCCTTTTGCCTGCAGCACGGCTCTGTTCTCCGTCCAGGGGAGCCCCTTCGCCATGAGGAGCCCAGCCCGGAGCCACTACCACCCCTCACCTGCCCGCCTGCCCGGCCCACAGCACCAGTGCATGGTCCGGTGGGGGAGGGCGTGGGAAGGTGTTGGGGGGCTGGATGGGGGAGCGGGGTCATGCTGTGTTGTGGAGTTTGGGGGAAAGCTGGGTTGGGGTGGGGGCTGCAGGGAGGCATTGCGGGTGCTGGGAAAGGCTGTGTTTGGGGGGTTGGGGGAAGCTGGGTTGGGCTGTGGGGGGTGCTGCAGAGGGGAGCTGCGTCACATTCGGGGTCTGCAGGGGGGAGCTGGGTGAGGCAGGGGCGGCTATGGGGAAACTGGTTTGGGCTGTGGGGGCCCCATCGTGAGAGAGATGGGGGTGCAGTTTCTGCCCAGGCTGGCCTGCATCGCACCCCTGAGCTTTCTCCATTTCCCCCCAGACCCTGAGCCCGGCCCGCCTGCTGACCGGTGTCCCTGCCCTCGCCCCGCACCGATGGCGCCCCCCTGAGCCCACGGCCTCCAGCCCCCCAGACCTCAGCTTCCTGCAGGGCTCCAGCTGCCGGGGGACAGCTCTGGACTTGGACTCCACCAAACCCTTCCCCGAATCGTGGTCCTCAACCGAGCGCAGCTCCTCTAGCACCCCCCAGGAGGTGCCAGCCTTGAGGCAGTCCCTGGGCCCCCTAGCCTCAGCCCAGGATGGGGAGTCCATCATTGCCAAGTGAGCTGCTCCCAGGGCAGTGGGGTCTGGTGGTTAGGGCAGGGGATGGGAGCCAGGACTCCTGGGTGTTATCCCAGCTCTGGGAGGGGAGTGGGGTCTAGTGGCTAGAGCAGGGGAGGGGGGGGATTGGGAGCCAGGACTCTTGGTTTTAGGCCTGGCTCCGGGCAGGGAGGGTGACCATTAATACCATCTCCTTTCCCTGCAGGTACATAGAGCGTTTCCGCCACGGGCAGCCGAGGAGCCGCAACCAGCGCCAGGCGCCCCCCGTCCCCACAGCTAGGGAGTTCTGGTGGCTGGAGCCAGCACTTCCCTCTGACAGCTCCACCCCGAAAGGGGGGGCAAAGCCAGGTACCTGCCCTTGCTGGGCAGGGGTCCCCCCCTTCCCCTGCTTGAGGTCCCTGCAGGTGGGGAGCTGGTTGGTTCCTTGGCCCCTCCTTTAACTGGGCCATCTCCTTACAGACTGTGCCAAGCTGGAAGAGGCCAGGCCAGGATGGGCACTTGTCAGCCCCCCGCTGCGCCCCATGGTCAGTATGTTGCTTGCAGGGAGGCAGAGCTGGGGGGCACCGGGCAGCTACATAGCTAGGGAGAGGGGCAGGCTGGCTCTGGGGTGCCCCTGGGACCCTGCCCAGCCCCTCTCTCTCCACTCTGGGGATCTCTCTGCCCCTGGGTCCCTGTCCAGCCCCTCTCTATTCACTCTGGGGATCCTACTCCATCCCCAGGAGCCTGCCCAGGCCTTCTCTATCTGCTCTGGGGATTCCCCAACAAGACCCTGCCCAGCCCCTCTCTATCCACTCTGGGGATCCCACCCCACGCCTGGGACTCTGCCCAGCCCCTCTCTGGGGCAGCAGGGAACCATGTCCCCTGGCCAGCTTTGTGGGGGACAGTCCCTGGTGCTACCAGCCCCCTGGGGCCTGATCGTGGGGCTCTTCCCTGCACTGCACGCTCACTCTCTTCCAGGGGGGCCCCTCAGACACCTCCCCACTGGAGTCGCCTGACCCCGACAGCCACAGCCTGCAGGAGAGAGCCACCCGGCTGCTGCTGAGAAGGTACTTTCCTGACACACACACCCCGCACTGGGTATCCCTCCCCCTCCCCCCGGCAGCCCCTTCCCTGCTGTGTACACATCTCCCCGCCCCGCAACACACACCCCGTGGTACCCACTGCTGGGTACCCCCCCCATACTGGGTATTCCCCCTCCAGCCCCTCCTGCACACTGGGGAGAGGCAGGATGCCTTCCAACGGACAAACCCTCTGTCCCCTCTAAGCTTGCCTGCTCTTCCTGCAGTGAGTCCTCCCTGAGCAGCACCATCCCTGTCAGCTCTGAGGGGCTGCGCTCCACACCTCCATCCAGCACCGTGGACTCAGACCAGGCGCTTCCCTGCCCCTCTCGCCTCTCCCTGCTGGAGCCCTCCCCAGGTAGGAACCGAGGTACTGGGCCTTTCCCCTCTTGGGGGCACCGGCTCCCATCTGGCCCCAGGGTGGGGACTAGCTGGCTCGAGGAGGAGAGAATGGAACACAGAGCCTTTCCCCTCCAGGGGGCACCGGCTCCCATCTGGGCCCAGAGCGGGTTATTCCCTGTCTCTTGTTCCTCCTGTGACACCCTTTATCTTCCCCCAGAGCCCCTGCCCCTTGCCTGCTGGCCTCCTGCCCATATCCCACAATGCTCCTCTTCCACTCGGCCGGAGGATGACATCCTGTTCCAGTGGCGCCTGCGTCGGAAGATGGAACAGGCAAGCCAGGCCGGCAGATCGCTGCCCCTGCCGGGCTGGAGGACTAAGCTGGCCTGGGGCCCAAGGACGGTAGGAGCCCGGGGGTGATTGGGGGGGATGATTCTGGGAGACCTGCCTCTCCCAGCGGGGATCATAGGAGCACAGCCATCTGTGGGGCTGTTCCCTGCCTGCCCTGCCCCAGAGTGTTGGGAAAGCCAATCTACCCTGGGGTCATGTCACGGACTCTCATGCCCCGTGCTCTCTCGGCTCTGTAAGGTCCCTGGGAGGAGCTCCTCTCAGCGTGACAGCCCTTCTTGTGGGTCCACACACTCTTCAGGGATTAAGCCCTGCGCTCCAGCGCCTCTTGGACCTGCACCTCTCTGAACCTTCCGCTCGCCCATGTCTCGCCATGGACCCCAGGGCCTCCACACCCAGAGAGAGCAATGCAACCCCGATCTCTACCCTGCAGTGACTCCCAGCCAACGTAATACAGGAGGGTTTATTGAGCATCTGAATCCAGCACAGGCAGTTCTCAGGGCTCTTGAGCCTAGCCAGTCTCAGTCCTGTGGGCTCAGGCTGCTCTTTGTCCCCAGCCCAGCAGCCCCCTGGCTGGAACCCAGCCACAGGGGTCCTCTCTCCTCAGCCCATTGTCCTTCCACAGGCCAGAATCGGCTGACTGCCAAGCTGGGGGGACCTACCAGTCACTAGGGGACCCAATCTCCAGGCAGTTGTCGGGGTCCTGACTGCCAGGCGAGGTAACACCTGCTCCTCTCCAGCAACAAACTCCCTCCCACCACCTCATTAAACACGTAGCACACAGGGGAACTGAGCCACAGACAGCATTCATGCAAGACACTAAGAAAATCCCCCCGCTTCATCATAGGTCACTCTACTGTCTCTGTGTAACCCCCCACTCAGAGCACCCAGCACTCGCCCTGCCACAGCACTGTCCAGCCTGTAGCCCGCCGGACCTCGCCATCCACTTCTGTGCCCACCGCTCAAGGATGAGGATAAATTGGAGGGGGACCAGAGAAGGGTTCAAGGGTTAGAAAACCCGCCTGAGAACGACAGATGGAAGCCTGGTCTGCACTACTCGGTTAGGTCGACATAGGCTGCGTTGGGTCGACCTAGCCGCGGAAGTGTCATCCCTAAGCCCTGGGCGATCAAAGGTAGCCAGCTTACGTGGGCACACAGTCGCTGTTCAGTAACTGCAGCAGCCATGTGCCAACATAAGTTAGATCAATGTCATTTTGTAGCATAGCCGCAGCTTGAGTCTATAGCTTAACGAAGGGAAGGTGAAGGGGTGACTTATCCCAGTCTGTGAGTGTCTACGTGGGGGAGGAATGTGACATCCTGGGCTCTGCCACCACGCAAGGGCTGGAAGGTGAAGCTAGTCCAGGGCAGCCTGGAAATGAGGCATACGGTGCGAGTAAGTAATCATTGGAAGGATTTCCCAAGGAGCGGGGGCATTTGCTGTCACCAACAACTTGTAGAACAAGGTGGGAGGTTTTTTTAAACACCTGTTTGTCATGGGTGCATAGGATCGGGGCTCCCACATTAGAACTGTCCCTGGGAGGAGCCCCTGCGATGCACCATACACCCAGCGACTTGCTCTTTCGTCAGGGTCAGCTGCAGCCTAGGAAGGCCTTAGGCTGGCGCAGAGAGCTCAGGGTTCAAACATAGCCAGGCCAAGCCTGTGACGAAGTGAGAATTTTCCCTTGTTATGTTGTATGAGAGTCTTACTGTTCTGCATGAATGCTGTGTGTGCCTCGATTTCCCTGTGCATTGCACCAGTGTCTAGGTGATGGGAATAAGGGTGTGTCACTTTTGTGGGGGCTGATCTAGCTGCCTGCAGGAATGCTATGGCTGCCCCTTCGTAACCTGAGACCCAGGAGAGGGATACAACCAGGTGACTCTTGGCCCGGGGACGTGAGACAAAGGCTGGAGGAGGAGCAGTGGCAGGGCAGGGGCCAGGCAGCTGGAAGTCCCTCTCGTCTGGGCTGGCTTGGGGTGGGGGGGGACAGGACCAGAGCCCTGACTCTGGGCTCCCCTTCCCCCAAGATGGATTTGGCTGAAAGTCATGGATTTCTGTGCTAACAATTTCTGTTCTACGCTGTGTTGCTGTCAACTAATAAACCTGTTTTACGGGCTGGCTGAGAGTCACGTCTGACTGAAGTTGGGGTGCTGGACCCTCTGGCTGCCGCAGGAGCCCCGCCCAGGCGGACTTGCTGTGGGAAGTGCATGGTGTGGAAGGGGATGCTGAATGCTCCGAGGTCAGACCCAGGAAGGTGGAAGCTGTGTAAGCTTCTTGCCTTGGAGACAGTCTGCTCCAAGAGAGGAGGCTCCCCCAGAGTCCTGACTGGCTTCGTAGGGAGTAGTTCCAGAGCATCACCTGGTGACTCCATGACAAACCCCAAGCCCAGCCACATTGTAATGAACCCCACATTCCAAGCCTGTCTGTCTGAACATCCAACTGACTTGGTCAGGTCCCAGGGAGAGCCCCCAGACCCTTCCAGCAGCTCTATTCCCCCCACCTCGCACTTTCCCTGTCCTCTGTTCTCCAGCTGGGTCTCTGCTCTGCTCCCTGTGGAGATTTCAGAGTAGCAGCCGTGTTAGTCTGTAACCGCAAAAAGAACAGGAGTACTTGTGGCACCTTAGAGACTAACAAATTTATTAGAGCATAAGCTTTCGTGGACTACAGCCCACTTCTTTGGATGCATCCCTGTGGAGAGGTGGGGAAATTCCACTCTGGGGCGCAGCCGCGTCCTGCTGACGGCTTGCCATTGTCTTCTATGCTTTTCCATTGATACAGGGCCTGCCTTGGCCAGTCCTTTTGAAGGATCTGGACTCCCTTCATACCTTTGTCTCCTCTCCCAGCCCACCCTGAGAGCAAACGAGCCTTTTCCGCTGTCATGGAGTCACAGTTTGGTTGCTCTGGAACTGATCTGTATGAGGGTCAGCCCAGACTCTGGTGTAACAAGTCTCTCTGCAGGGGCCCTTCCACCAGAGCAAGAAGCATCTTCAGCTTCGGCATTTCCTGGAGCCGATCTCGGAGAGTTCAGCCCCCTGTTGACCCTGTGAGCTCCCTGCTGTGAGTCCACCTGGAAGGGACACCTGGGGACCCAAACCCCCCCCAAAGGGCCCTGCACCCCCACTCCGCAGTCACAGGGACTCAGCCAGAAGCGTGACACAGGAGGTTTATTCATCAATGGGAACACAGCGTAGGACAGATCTTGTTAGCACAGAAATCAGGAATGTTGTTTCAATAGAGTCCATGGGGGGGGGGGGGGCAGAGCCCTAGGCTCTACCACCCCACCCCCAGTCCCAAACCAGGAGACTGACCCTTTCAGCTGCCCATTGTCCCCTCTCCTTCCTTTGTCTCTTTCCTGGGCCAGCAGGTCCCCCTGGTCTTGCACCAGCACCTCAGGCTGGTTCTTGCAGAGAAGGGGAACTGGCCATCAGTTGCCAGGATACAAGGTGCAGCCCACCAGCAGTCACACCTGCCCTCTAGGGGTCTTTGCAACGATCACACCCCCTTATCCCACCACCTAGATACTTGAGTAGTATATAGGGCAGGGGTGGGCAAACATTTTGGCCTAAGGGCCACATCTGGGTATGAAAATTGTAGGGCGGCCTATGAATACTCACGAAATTGGGGTTGGGGTGTGGGAGGGGGCAAGGGGTCCGGTTGAGGGGGTGGGCTCTGGGGTGGGCCCAGAAATGAGGAGTTCAGGTTGCGAGTGGGGGCCCCAGGCTGGGGCAGGGGGTTGGGATGCGGAAGTGGGGGAGGGCTCTGGTTGGAAGTGTGGGCTCTGGCGTGGGGCCAAGGATGAAGGGCTTGGGGTGCAGAAGGAGGCTGGGGGTGGAGCAGAGGGGTTTGGAGTATGGGAGGAGGCTCTGGGCTGGGGATGAGTGGTTTGGGGTGTAGGAGGGGGCTCTGGGCTGGGACTGAGGAGTTTGGAGGGCGGGAGGGGGATCAGGGCTGGGGTAGGGGGCTGGGGCACATGAGGTAGTACGGGGTGCAGGCTCCAGGTGGTGCTTACCTCAACCAGCTCCCGGAAGTAGCGGCATGTCCCTTCTCCGGCTCCTACGCGGAGGCGCAGCACCAGCCAGGTAGCTCTGTATGCTGCCTCATCTGCAGGTGCCTCCCTTGTGGCCAATGGGAGCTGCAGAGCCGGCGCTTGGGGCGGGGGAAGCATGCGGAGCTCCCTGGAGGGACATGCGCGGAGTGGGGCAAGCTCCTGCTCCCCGGTGGGAGCTCAAGGGCCGGATTAAAAGGTGTAACAGGCTGGTTGCGGCCCATGGGCTGTAGTTTACCCACCCCAAAAAAGGGGAAGCTGAGACACACACAGTATTCAGAGAAAACATTAAGAATGTTCCCATTTTGTCCCAACCCCCCACCGGGTAACAATGCATCATATAGGGGAAACAGAGGCACACATCGTCATAAAAATATGACAGAAAATTCCCCTGTTGCCACGCAGCTCAAGGAATTCTGCAGTGCAGGTGTCGGGTTGTGTTACACAGACGGCCAGAGTAGGTGATCACTACGGTCCCTTCTGGCCTTGGGATCTAGGAATCTGTAGCAACTCTTAGCTCCGCATAAGCAACCCCATGTCTGTGAGTCCCTCCCTTGTCCAGCTTGGGCCCCTGGGCTGGGCTTCCTGTTGCAGGTGAGCAGCTGACAGCGGGTTTCCCCTCGGGCTGCTCTGGAGGGTGCCTTCCCCGCCACCTGAGCGTCTCCTAGGCACCCCCAAGCTGGGGTTGGCTGGCCTGTTGGTTTGGAGAGCGCCTTGAAGCTTGTAGCATTTCCCAGGGTTGCCATCAGGTGCGTCTCCCAGCGAAATCACAGACGATCCCGTGGTGACACACAAACGTTTGTGTTTTTAATGCAGTGAGCTCTGGCGATACTTAATGTTATTCCAGGATATTGCAGGCAATGCCCCTTCATCGGCACACTCCTCCCCTTATTCCTGCAGGGCGATGGGGTGTGCATGGCACGTCCTGGCGTTGGACTGCTGCCAAGTGCAGTGGCATGGAGGAGCGGAGATGCTGCTGCGTTCCCAGCGCCTGCTGTCCAGACAGAAATGAGATCTGGCCCGGAGTGGGCACTAGGACCCTCTGCTCTTCGCCAAGGGATGGGGCACCCCCTGGAGGTGCCCTTCCTGAGTGCTAAGCCAGCTGTGGGGCAGAACCCCATAGCTGTCCACGTTCTGGGGCAGCTGGCATCTGCTGCCACCCCCTCCAGCACACCACAGCCTGAGGGAGATGGAGGAGGAGCTGCAGAGAGGTGGAGCTCCCAGGATGCTTGGCAGGGAATGGGACCGGCGGAACGTCCTGGCTCCCAGGATTCTCGGCGGGGAGCGGGACCGGTGGAGCAGCCCATCTCCCAGGATGCTCAGTGGGCAGCAGGACCATCGGAGCGCCCCATCTTGCAGGATGCTCGGTGGGCAGCGGGACCGGCGGAGCGGCCCGGCTCGCAGGATTCTCGGCGGGGAGCAGGACCGGCAGAGCAGCCCATCTCCCAGGATGCTCGGCGGGCAGCAGAACTGGCGGAGTGGCCCGTCTTGGAGGATGCTCGGCGGGCAGCGGGACCGGCGGAGCGGCCCGGCTCTCGGGATGCTCGGC